TAATCGTTAACATAAAATAATAGAACATTTTAATAAAAATTAATATTTTTTCTTGAACATTAACTCACCAGACACTGAATAACTGCACAAATTAATAAGGGTAACGCAAATAAACCTATTTTTCTTGTTCTCTGAAAGTGAAATATTTCCTGTTGTGCACATCAAACAAGTCAGTCCAATACTAATGTTGTGGCAATCAGCTGCTAAAATATTCGCTGCTAATATTAGTATAGAGAAATGGTGTGCCTGCATGTAAGGCACATAAGGCAAATGAATGCAACACAATTATAGTAATCAGTCATTAGCAAACGTTGTAGTTCGTTATTAATAATTATGTATAACAGGATATTGTAAAAATTAAGCTATGACATTTTTATTAAAACATTTCTTTCTTACATACCATTATATTGGCTGGGCCGCAAAAATATTCATTGTGGGCCACATGCCACCCATGGGCCATGAGTTTGACATGCTTGCTCTAGAGTACTGACTTCCCATTATAATCATTGAGATTTTCTTTCTTACTCAACTTTTTTTCTCCATTTTCCTGATAGAATTACAATTTTTAGTTAAACCAGTACTTGGTACTTACACTATTATGACTGTAAGTATTGTTCACTGCTGATTAAGCAATGTACAATGGTTATCTGCTGTGATATGGATGTTTGTTTTCTTGGAGTTATTTCCTTTTCTTTCATTTGCTTAATTTTCTGTGCATGTACTATTTGTTTGTCCTTAATGCATCAACAGATCTGTTGCATGACTGGCAATCATTGTTTCAACTTCTCAAACACATCAAATATCCCATCAGTTCCTTTTCCCTGGCCTGGAGGCCTCCCTCCCAGCATTAGTCCTCTCAATCTAATCTGGACAGTGGCTTTCTAGCCCAGCCGCCATGCTAGAACTTTCCTCAGCCATTTTGGTTTAGGGATTGTTTTTGAGGGATTTGCTCATGTGAATATAACTAGAATGAGGAAGCATTCGTCTTTTAAAGAGAATCCTAAATTATTAATATACTAGAGGCCCGATGCATGAAATTCAAGCAAGAGTAGGCCTTCTTTCCCCTGGCTGCCAGCGGCTTCTGTCTGGCACTCGGGATCATGCAAGAGTAGGCCTTCCTTCCCCTGGCTGCCAGCGGCTTCTGTCTGGCACCCGGGACCGTGCTTCCCTAGCAGCCCGAGCTTCGTCCGGAAGGTTGTCCAGAAGGATGTCCGGAAGGACATCAGGTCTAATTAGCATATTACCCTTTTATCACTATAGATACTGCTTACATGTCCTGGTTCACTACACTGTGAGGCCATATAAAACGAGGTCATATTTGTTTTGAATGCCCAAATTATAATGGCTCCAATCTTCACAATTTGAATGTAAGCTCTCTAACTTTGCAAAGTGCCCTCTGAGTTTTTCTGTGGGTCCCTAAGAGGGATTCCCATGTGCTCACTACCTCATCTATCCAAAGGCTTTTGCCATGTTCTTCCACTTCTGCTCTGACCCCTGGCCAATACATATCACCCTGAATGCTGTTTGAAGTATCCCTCATGCTGAGAGTATGCCTCACTGTGGGTGGTATCCCTCATAAGGTCAGTGCTGTATTTGCCAAGGGTGTTTTCCCCTGGTTTTGCCATTTCCAAGAAAACCAGGGGGTACTAGGCTTGATGGGAGGAAGTAGAAATGACCCTTTCCCAAATTCCACCCCATATCCCATTCCCCCTCCTCTGTTGCTCAAAGGCTAGAGCTCACAGTCTCTCAGCGTCTCCTCTTTGCAGTTTCCTGTGTGCACACCTGCCCCTAACCCCTCTGTCCAAACCAAAAATAATTCACAGTCACAACGAGCTGCTAAGCATCCATTTTGCCAGGGACAACACAAAAGCTCGAAGGCTCAGAAACACATCTCAGCACATAATTTATTACCAAACCGGAATGTGTAACGTTTATGTTCTAGCCAGTTTCTCCAGCAGAGAGTCAGTCAGCCCCACAGCGAGATGAAGTCTCCATGCTGGAGAGAGAACACTACTTGCACCTTTCAGATGGGCCTCTTTTTCTGCTAAACAAGATTTAAATGCTTGCCTTTGCGTCTCCTCTACAGCCAAGTACCATGTTGCAAATCTTTAAGTATGTCCATGTTCTTTTAGAAAACCCCAAATATTTGATTTCCTTGGGAAAATCTGGAAACCTCCCACAGATATCTGTCAGTAATACAGCAGAATTGAAAAACTATTTCAGACTTTTCACTAATCAGACTGGTCTTTGCTCTAAAATTGTCATAATTTGCCAAGTTAGCATTTTCAAAGAATACTTAAGGGTGGAGATGCTGCCAACAGAGAGAGCAGCTAGCAGGTTATAAGGGAGGAAAGATGTTTTTCTTGTGAGATTTAAAGTACTACTGTGCTGGTCTTTTTCCAAATGAGAGAATCCTTTTCAAAATGTAGGCCATGCTGTTTCAGGAAGAAATTTCAGGTGGTCCATTTCCCCCTCTTTAATGTTCCAGTTTTCTTTACTGAGTGAGTGAGGACAGTTAGGCTCACAATTTACCCTCTCAGTAAGAGGGAGAGCCATGATCTTAACCCAGGGCAATTTGACTTCAAAACTGTTGGTTCTCTTCTGCGTACTATATCATGATGTGTCATTTTGAATGGGTACAGAGATGACCCTAAAAAAGAGGAGCTGATCTGGGGAATTCCTGGACATGTGGATTATCTGGGATTTCCCTGGCATACACAATGGTTCCCTGGAGATGCATACTCTCTGGTGAAGGATGATTTGCATAGCACCCCCTGTGCAAACAAGCCTAATCCCAAATTTCACTGTCCCTGTTCTTTCTTCAGTTGCCTTTTCTTCCATCCCCCCTTTTTTTGAGAGATAGCAAGTAATTGGTTGCTGATCCTGCACTCTGCTCTCTAGAAGCCATCCAGATTGTAGACCCAGCTTACCTTTCCCATGACATCTGTTAACAGCTTGAGGGCCAGGGGATCGTGAACCAGGGAGTCTGTGTAAAAGGAACCAAGGTACTTCCTTGGGTTGATTGGATTGTCCTGGGCACACAGATCTGGGCGCACACTGAATCCATGGGAGATTCTTCCTACTGTAAAGGGGAAGGCTCCACCTGCAAGTAAAACCCATTACTGAGGGCTTGCTTCGATTGAAAGGGATTCCTTTCTATTGATTTTAGAGAGAGAGGTAGGGAGAGAGAAGGAAGATAGAGAGAGAAACATAGATGTGAGAGGGAAACATCAACTGGTTGCCTCCCAACGGGGATTGAACCTGCAACTTGGGCCTGTGTCCTGACTCGGAATCAAACCCATGACCTTTTGGTGTATGGGACAACGCTCCAACCAGCTGGCCAGAGCTGAAAAGGATTCCTTTTAATCCTCATGTTGTATGCAAAGAAATGTTACTATAGCCCAGCTGGTTAACAAAGGACCTACTGGGTTCCAAATGTTGAGAGATGACCCAGAAGAACCCACAGGAACTCATCTAGAAATGCAGATTTGAGGAATTTATCCTAAAGAGAGAAGACAAGTGTGTAAAGATATGTGGTCAAAGTTTTCAAATGCGGTGTGGTCACATGAGCAAAATACTGAGGCAACCTATCAGTTAGGGAATATCTAAATAATAATTATAATATCTAAAAATGTATTGCTATGTTTGCAACGATCAAAAAATGATGAAGCTCTGTACTTATTGACCTGGAAGATGTCGCTATATGCTGGTGAGAAGGAAAAAAAATTAGAGAGCAGCACGAGGAGTTTGATTGTGTGTGTCTGTGTGTCCAAGAGTCACAAACTCAATTACTTACAGAGACCAAGCAGGAAGTGTAAATGAATAAAATAAGTCTATTTTAAACAATAGTGAATGGTAGGGATTATTGCAAACTGGACAGCTTGTAGTCTGACAGAGATTTAAATCAAAACAAATCAAAACAAAATAAAGCAAAAACTGTGCCAATCAAACTAAACTTGTCTGCAAAAATGGAATTTGGTCCCTTGAACCATCATATACTTTATGACTAGAATGATTACTGGAAGGATGTTAGGGACTGAATTGTGTCCCTCCAAAATTCATATGTTGAAACCCTAACCCCCAATGTGACTGTATTAGGAGATAGGGCCTTAAAGGAGCTAATTCATGCTAAATGAGGTTATAAAGTAGGACCCTAATCTGATAGGACTGGTGTCCTCATAAGAAGAGGAAGAGACAGCAGAATGATCTCCCTCCCTCCTTTTCCCCTCTCTCCCTCCTTTCCCCTCCCTCCCTCCCTCCCTCCCTTCCTCCCTCCTTTTCCCTCCCTCTCTGTGCATGCACAGAGTAAAGGCCATGTGAGAACACAGTGAGAAGGTGGCCTTCTACAGTCCAGGAAGAGGGGTCTCACTGGAAACCAACCCTGCCAGCACCTTGGTCTTGGAACTCTAGAACCGTGAACACATTAATTTCTGTTGTTTCTGCCACCTAGTCGGTGGTATTTTGTTATGGCAGCTGAGCTGACCAAAACAGATGGGGTCTTACCTCCATGTGCAAAACACACTTTCAGTTTAGGAAACTTCTCGAACACTCCACCCATGATCATGGAGCAAATGGCTGTGGTGGTCTCTGCTGGCATTCCTGAAAGAGGAAACAGTCACAAGGTACAGGGCTTGTCCCCTCTAGCACGAAGTTCAGTGATGCTCACGGTGGGAACGGCGGCTTGCTGTAATTGTCAGTCCCTGCGCCCTAGCATGGCTTGCTTATATACAGGCGATTGCCTTGGTGAGCAGAACCATCTGATGCTTCCTATTTGCCACTTGCAGGTAGAGTCACCTAATGGCTAGAATAGCCAAGGAGCCAGAGGACCTGTTTTTTGTCCTGATTCCCCCAGCTTCAGTTTTGGATGCAGTGGGGCAAGACAGTACAGTGAGTCTGGGCTGAACCCGAACTCCTCCCATTTTTGCTTTCCAGCCTTTGACAAGGTATTTAAAGCCCCGAGCCTGCGCTTCACCTGTGAGATGTGGACAGTATTGCCCATCTTGCAAGGCTGCTGTGGAGCCTTCAAAATGATGATGTCAGGAAGGTTCTTGGCCAGAACTTCACATTAGAGATGCTCAAAAATATTAATTGCCTCCCTGTCCTCAATTTCCTCATCCGTAAATGGGTGGGGGTGATAATTGTTAATTCTTGCCACTTAAGTGCTCAATAAATATTGACTCATATTATTGTTCCTCCCAAATTTTTGCTGCTTCTTAGAGCTGAGGTTGAAAATAACTGGATTAAGCCCTGGCCAGGTAGCTCAGTTGGTCAAAGCATCATCTTCATTGTGGGTTTGATCCCTGGTCAGGGCACATACAAGCATCAACCAATGAATGCATAAATAAATGGAACAACAATTGGTGGTTCTCCCCCCTCCCCCCCCCCCCAATAAAAAAGAAAAGAAAAGAACTGGATTAAAGTGAATTATTTCAAGCTCCTAGAAGTGGCTATTTAATGCCTGGTGTCTTTACTTCCTTGGACTCAGTCTGGGTTTCATTTCAGATGCCTGCTTTTCAGACTGTGATTAAGGAATCTCTGGAGGCTCCACAGCTGAGCCTGGCACCTTCTGGGGAAGCCTGCTTCTCTGGCTGCCCAATGGGGCTTTAGTGGATGCTCATTCTGCCCCATTGCTCTGAGGACAGAGATACCCCTGGCCTCTTGGGAATTCTGGAAGCATGATAGACTAATGTCCATCTGAAGTGGGCAGAGCTTCGCGAAGGCAGGAGATGAACAGCATCACTTCCTTTGGGTCCTATGATTCTGCTTTCCATTCATCACTTGAACCATAACTCCACAATCCGGTCTCCATACAGGAGCCAAAGCAGAATGTTTGCAGTGTAAATTGGGGTATGGCCCACCCCTGCTGGGAATCCTCCAATCACTAACGACCACCTTTGCATCAGAATAGAATTCTGAAATTACTCATAGCCTGTTTGTTTATGATCTGTGTGCCTGTTTATTGTCTTTTCCCTCCAACCAGAACATAGACTCCAGGAAGGCAGAGGTTTTGTCCACGTCTGTATCCTTGGTGCCTGGCATGCTGCAGGAGATCAATGCATATGTGCTAAGGCAGAGGTTTTGTCCACGTCTGTATCCTTGGTGCCTAGCATAGGGCCTGGCATGCTGCAGGAGGTCAATGCATATGCACTGCATAAATGAATGATGAAGTGGCCCTTTGTTCTCCCCTCTGTTTTTCATGTGGGAAGTTGCCATGTATATAAGCTTGTGGGACTTGTCAAAGTGCTGTGTGAATTGGAATGAGACTTTCTTTGAAGCCTGAAAGCACTGGGGCTTCTTAAGTGATCTCTTTCTACTAATTCCTGCTCAAAATTTGGTTGGGAGTAGATAGGAAGCTGCCTTACTAAATACACGGGTCTCCAAAAGCAATGCCAGGGGCATAAAATATCAGAGTAGAAGGAGAATCCAAGCCAGCTCTCTCACTTGACAGACGAGGAGCTGGGGTGTCAGGAGGTGAAATGACTTGCCACGGGTTACACAGAAATCTAGACGAGCTGGAACTGAAATTCAGTTTTACTTTCAATATACTGCTCCATTTAGTGCTTTATGGTGGATACTTCACTATTACTTGTATCAACGAGGCTGAGGAGAGAATGGGTAATGGCCTCCCAAAGCAAACCCAGCCCTGCTCTGCGGGGACCACTCCTTGGGTGTGTAGATAAGCTGCACTCTCCCCACGGGGCCCCAGGATTCTAACCTGTCTTCATTTCTTTTTCTTGTCAGGATGCTAATGAGAGAGTGGACAGGCTAAATGGCGGCCTCTCCCCTATCCCTGTCCCTCGTCTGAAACCATGAATGAATTGAGGAGGAAAAGAGCAGAAGAGAGATAAGGTAACAGGGAAACTGAAAGTCTGGGTCACCCATAATTGAGGGCCTCTGATCCTTGGGCGGTGTAAGGTGACCTTCCCCTCCTAATTCCAGGGTTCTCATTTGAAAGAGATGATGCTACTATTGGCTTCTAAAAAACCGGTTAGACAGGCAAGGTTACTTATCTTTGGAGCCTTTTGGGGAGTCTGTGTCATGAGGTGGTTTTGGAGTCAGACTGATCTGTGTAAATTCCATGTTCACTTATTAACTGTGTGACTTGGACAAGCTTCCTAACCCCTCTGAGATTCAGTTTCTCCATCCATGAAATGGTTATTATAATGTCAGCCTCTTAGGGTTTTGTGTGAATATGATTAAAATTAAATGAGATAATATATTTAGCAATAATCTGAGTAAGAGCTCAATAATGCACAATCCTGTTAATAAATTACACTTTCTCTCTTTGACATAATAGTGTTTCACAGATAATTGGGGAAAAAATACAAAAGTTAGATCCTCTTTTCTAGACCCCCAAGCTGACACAAACCTACGAGCCAAGGGAGCCAGTATTTGGCCATCCGTCCATCCATCTGCATGTCCCAGGGGTGCACAAATAGGGAACAGTTCAGCTTCTCAGCTGCCTTCAGAGAAGGAACGAGAGAGGGTTATTGGGGGAGCCAGCAGATACAGGGTGCTATTTTAGGGAAATTGCTTTTCCCTAGGTCTATATTGATCTGAATACACAAACCAAAATATTTTTGAAATTGTTTCCTTATCTTTATAAAAGAGTCATTGATAAACTGTGCTCCTGCTTGGAAAATAAAAAGGACACTTAGATTTAATGAGGGTGTGTGTGTGTGTGGATTTACCATCGAAGTTGATGAATTAATATATTGTTTGGCAAAACAAGTCACAGGAAACATCCATCACTCACATGTTTTGGCTGAGAGCAAAATGCTTAAGGACTGCTCTTGTACCTCAAATACCGGGGAAATTTCCCCTGCTGGTTCCTCCTTGGTCTACTCTTTTGGAAGGACTGCTCACGTTCTATCTTTGGAGTCAGGACTGAAGTGTTCCCTCCTTTCCTCCACTTGGAAACTGAGGATGTGGAGAGTGAGGAAGTGATGGGCGGAGAGTCAGGGGTTCAGGACTGGGCTGGGGCAGGCTGGCCTGACCCAAGCCTCTGGTCACTCAGAGCCTGATAGAGGGTGGGAATTTCTGGGGTCTGCAGGCTTTCACAAAGCCCCAGGAGCTCAGCAGAGTCCCTAAACAGCCTGGTGTGAATGAAATCACTTTAAAGAAAGGAAGAGATCTCAATGCCTCCATCAGGCCTGTGCTGTGATGAAGGTCATGAGCAAACTTGTTCCAGGGCCTTCTGGGAAATGAAAATACCATCTGGATGGAATGACCTTTATTCAGCAAAATGTTTCATTTTAAAAAGTCCCCTCAGCAGACATTGAGTATTAGTGCTTAGCAAGGTTCAAAACATATTTTTCTTAGCACATTTCCAAATATATTGGGGTGCCAGAGTGACTCATCCTCCCCTTACATATTAATATGTGGACTCACTAGTTTGATACAATGGGACTTCTGTACAGAAACATTTTTTAAAAATGGAGAAGCAATTCTTGGACAACATGGGATTCTGGATGTGGCAGGCAAGGGGTAGATTGGAGAAAGGACTTCTAATTCAACAGGTTCTGGGGAGAAGAGATAGAAACCTTTTGATATATACCTGATAATGGATGCAGGCTGGAAAGAGAATACCAGCTTCTTGGGTAGTTTGGGCTTGACAAAGACACATGACCATGATATCTCAGTGGGATTTGACTCCTCATTAGTACAAAAGTTGATTCTATGGCCTACGATGGTTCGTTTCTATTCAATTCAAATTAACAAATATTTTTGGTCACCTTTTGTATGTGAAGTATTGTAGAGAACACAATCAGAAGTCACTTATACTCCCAAAATTGTAACTCACATTAATGAAGAACTTACCATGTGCCAAAGCTATCATAAGAATTTTACAATTATTAACTAGTTTTATTCTTTATAAAATGAGCACTTGTGTTATTCCCATCTTATAGAGAATAGAGCTACGGCAGACAGAAGCTAAGTAACTTTCTCAGGTCTTGTGGCTGGTAAGTGAAAGAGGCAGGTAGCCTGCCCATACTATTCTGTCTGCCTCATACTCATCACAAAATCATTTTAGTGCCTGAAAACAGTGCCGAAAGTGTATTGTTGGGTCACTCCCTAAGAAGGAAGGTCTAGGAACTAAGGTGGACAGTTAGACACTCTGGAGCTCCAGGCTGGCCTTGACATAACACAGCCAACTTGGCTCATGGAAACCCCTCTTATTTGTTTCAGCTCATGTTACCCACGCAAGTTACAGAGTAGTGAGACTGGCAAGTCCTGCCAACCAAACAAAGGTGCTGTCAACCCCAGGACATGGTAAGTCAGCTGGGCCAGGGGGCTCTCCTGAACCCCCTCAGGGACTGCAAGCCCCCAAACAGCCTCGTTAGAATGATGGATGGGTCAAGCTAGTCACACAAATGGAAATACTACACCCAACAGGCTGCTGCTGCTGCTTTCTGAGCCCAATTCCAATCCTATATAATAAAAGCATAATATGCAAATTGACCCAACTGTGGAACGACTGGTCACTATATCGTGCACTGACCACTATGGGGCAGACACTCAATGTAGGAGCTGCCCCGTGGTGGTCAGTGTGCTCCCACAGGGGGAGCACTGCTCAGCCAGAAGCTGGGCTCATGGCTGGAGAGTGCAGAGGTGGTGGCAGGAGCCCCTCCTGCCTCCACTGCAGGCGGGTGGTAAGGAGCAAGGGGTCCCGGACTGCGAGAGCCCTGGACTGCGAGAGGGATTCTGACTGACAGCTTAGGCCTGATTTCCAGGGGAATTGGGCCTAAGCTGGCAGGCATACATCCCCTGAGGGATCCCAGACTGCGAGATGGCGCAGGCCGGACTGAGGGGACCCTCCTTCCCCCCCAGTGTATGAATCTCGTGCACTGGGCCTCTAGTGAATAATAAAATGACTTGCAGCTGAAGGTTTGCTCACACTGTGCTGAAACAACTTGGATACACAGATAAATAAATCCTCTTTCAAAGCTCATTAAAGTTTCTAGAAAACATTTACTGCTTCAGCTCAGCCACTGCAGCCAATACTCTTCAGGGAGCTCAATATTTAGAGGAACATTAAAGCCTTCAGGTCACCAGGAGGCAATTTAACAGGCATCTCCCAACCGGTCCATAGGTACAAAAATGGGAATTTCCCCCCCATGTAGTCAGAGCTCATTAGATAATAAAAGAATAAATGATCAGTGAGTATAGGGCCTGGTGAGTTCACCAATATCTATTTAATTCATTATGAAAGATTTTATATTTACAAGGAAAATAATAGGAAACAATACTATCCTAATTCTAGGAGGGAAGTAAACATTCTGAAATGCAGCTGAATATAGAATCATGCATCTTGAATTCTGGTGTAAGGAAAGCAGGTTCAGTTGCAGAAACAGAAGGCAGAGGAAGATTTTCAAAATATATGGCTTACAGAGTATCTTAATTGAGGAATGATTAAATAAATCAAAACATATGCATATATTGGAATATTATGCAGTTATTTAAAAATCATGCATTAAGAGACTTTTCATTTAGGGTGGAAATTCTCAATTAGGATATGAAGTCACGCATATAATAGAATATAGATATATGTAAAAAAACAAATGAAATATACTATAGCAGTAGTTACTTATCTTTGGGTGGTGGAATTATGGATTACTTTGGACTATGGAATGTTTTCCTTTTTACACTTTCCTTTATTTCCCACAATTTCTTCAAAATTTGTTATACTAGAGGCCTGGTGCATGAAATTTGTGCAGGGGTTGGGGCTCAGCCCAGCCTACACCCTCTCCAATCTGGGACCCCTTGAGGGATGTCCGACTGCTGGTTTAGGTACGATCCCACATGGCTCCCAACCGCTCACCTGCCTGCCAGCCTGATCACCACCTAACCACTCCCCTGCCAGCCTGATTGATGCCTAACTGTTCCGCTGCCGGCCCAGTCGCCCCCAACTGCCCTCCCCTGCCGGCCTGGTCACCCCCAACTGCCCTCCCCTGCCGTCCTGGTCACCCCCAACTGCCCCTCCCTGCTGGCCTAGTTGCCCCTCACTGCCCCCCTGTCAGCCTAGTTGCCCCCAACTGCCCCCCTGCCAGCCTGGTCGCCCCACACAGCCTGCTTATTCAGTCGTTTGGTCGTCCCTCACTAACCCCCCTGCTGGCCTGGTTGTAGGCAGCCATCTTGTGAAGGCGTGAGGGTTAATTTGCATATTACCTCTTTATTATATAGGATAATTTGAAAAATAATGATTTTTTTTCCCCAAAGCGAAAATAAATATTGTCTGGTATGTCATTAACACAGTTCTTTGTAAAGTGGCTGTGATAAGGGTAACATTTTGGCTTCCAAATGAAAGATTAAAAGGAGAGCATGGATATTATATAGGATAATTTGAAAAATAATGATTTTTTTTTCCCCAAAGCAAAAATAAATATTGTTTGGTATGTCATTAACACAGTTCTTTGCACAGTGGCTATGATAAGGGTAACGTTTTGGCTTCTAAATCAAAGATTAAAAGGAGAGCATGGGTGATAGAAAGAACAGAGATTTCACTCAGCTAACTCAGGGTGCATTTCCACTCGCCCCTCTCCCAGTGGAATGGCCACTCCTTGTGGGAGCTCTTCCCACGTTTCCTCCTAGCATGTCAGCAGCATCTCTCTCTCCCGCTCCCAGTGAAGTGGTGCATTTATCTTCTTCCCGCCAGCGCCCAGCACAGTGCCTAGCCCCAGCACCCAGCCAGTGCCCAGCCCCAGCGCCCAGCGTGGTGCCTGGTCCCGCCACACACTCACTGCGTAGACAGGGAAGAGTTCCTGCGCATTCAGGTCCCACGTGTTGACGTGGGAGCCGATCTGGACCCCCGGGAAGCCCAGCTCCTTCACACAGCGCTCCATCTCCTTGACGGCCAGCTCCGGGGCCTGCATGGGCAACGACCCCAGGCCCACGAACCTCCTGGGGTGCCTCGCTACAGTGGCAGCTAAGTCGTTGTTTAAAAACTGGCACAGGTCTAACGTGTCTTGAGGTTTGGCCTGGTGGAGACAGATGAGGGAACACAACATCATTCAGAACCTCCTTCTTTAGCTCTTTCCTCCAAACAACACCTCCCCAGGCGAAATCACCTGTCATTCTCACTGGCTTTCCTCACAGAAAGCTGAGGCACAGGCTGGGACAGGCACTTGCTGCAGAAAACCCAGAAGCCAGGCATTGCAAATGCAAAGACAACTGCTAGTGTTGATGGTTAATTACAAATTGTGAGGCTATAATCTGAAGGGACGGACACAGTTACCGGGCCTGGCATCCCCACCCCTGCAGACAGGAGCCCGCAGGCTGCACATCTAGGTACCTCCTCTACCCCCACACAGGAGGCTGGGCCTGGTGTGCCTAACGTCACCAGGGCCTCTCCTGGTCATGCCTCGTTGTGTGACATCAGGATGTTCTACACCTCTCCTGTCCCTGCTTTTCCCCCTCCCTGTCCCTCCATAGGCAGTGACACTCACAGTTACCCTAGCAAAATGCTGATGCAGATGAAGTTTGCTTTCTGTTCCCCTAACTCTTCCTTCTTCATTCTTTTCTTTCAACATCCTCTCACCCCACTGCCAGGAATTTGGTGTTCTCCTGCAATCCCAGTTGTGTAGTCAGAATGATACCCAGTCTGATAAATGTAGACATATTGAAGTCATAAATTTAAACCTATTTAAATCATGAATCTAATCACAGAAACAGATAAAGACTGAACCACTAGCACTGGAATTATGAGCCCCGGTGGGGAAGTATGTGTGAGCAGGTAGTATTGCCATTGCTGCTTAAACCACAACAGGAGTGAATATTTGCACGTGTGAGCAGGCGCCGGTGCACCCCCAGCTGTGTACAAAGGTGTCCTTCCACAAGCTCGCAATCATGCCTGAAACTTCAGCACTTGACACTTAATCACTTGGGGAAAAGCGGCCAACTCCAGGAATCCCATTTTGAATTGTACATTTCCGTGGGAGAGGCAACATATAGGCCATTATTATTGTTCCCACCTCAAACTCATCATCACTTCAGAATACACTCTCTTGTTGAATACTGAGTAAGGCACTGAGGGGATGAGTCATCAGACAGGTAAGTTCTGATGGAAATTTAGGTTGGGTCTAGAACTGTGCGTGCAGTGAAAATACAATGTGAGTCACATAGTGATGTGCAACTGTTGGCGACTGTACTGGACCCTGTGGGTCTGCAGTGGTCGGCAAACTGCGGCTCGGCAAACCATGGCTCACGAACCACATGCAGTTCTTTGGCCCCTTGAGTGCGGCTCTTCCACAAAATACCAACTTCTGCGCATGGGCCACGAAGTTTCAATCGCACTGTGCATGCACGCCCTCATGTGATATTTTGTGAAAGAGCCACACTTAAGGGGCCAAAGAGCCACATGTGGCTCGCGAGCCGCGGTTTGCTGACCACGGGTCTAGAACAAGGACAGGACTAAGAAGACAGGCCCAGAAGAGCACACTGCAGTGTGAGAAGCTGAGGGACACCACTGATCTCTATAGGGGAGAAACGGGAGTTGGGGCAATGTCAGGTGTGAGTCATCTACCAACTTGCCAGACATAACCCTTTGCCCACCAAGAAGATGGTTTGAAGTTTCATACTCACCCAGTAGCTAAACATGACGGGAACTGTGGAAAGGGCTTGCACGGTCACTCCTAGACACAGACACAAAGAAAGGCAAAGCCGATGAGAATAGCCCAGACTCTCCTGTATTTCCTAGGCCCATGTAGGCCAGCAATTTTCCACTCCACCTCATCCTCGCTCTCCCTTCCCTGGCTGCTCCTCCCTGTCCACTTTCTCTCAGGATTTCTGTCCCAGACCTCCCTCATCCCTCAGTTTTTTCTTCTTCCTCTTCTTAAAGGATACCTTTCAGCATTTCGTATAATACTGGTTTAGTGGTGATGAACTCCTTTAGCTTTTCCTTATCTGTGAAGCTCTTTATCTGACCTTCAATTCTGAATGATAGCTTTGCTGGATAAAGTATTCTTGGTTGTAGGTTCTTGGTATTCATCACTTTGAATATTTCTTGCCATTCCCTTCTGGCCTGCAAAGTTTCTGTTGAGAAATCAGCTGACAGTCGTATGGGTATTCCCTTGTAGGTAATTGAGTCTCTTTCTCTTGCTGCTTTTAAGATTCTCTCTTTGTCTTTTGCTCTTGGCATTTTAATTATGATGTGTCTTGGTGTGGTCCTCTTTGGATTCCTTTTGTTTGGGGTTCTCTGCGCTTCTTGGACCTGTAAGTCCATTTCTTTCACCAGGTGGGGGAAGTTTTCTGCCATTATTTCTTCAAATAGGTTTTCAATATCTTGCTGTCTCTCATCTTCTGGCACCCCAATTATTCTGATGTTTGTACGCTTGAAGCTGTCCCAGAGGCTCCTTACACTATCTTCGTATTTTCGGATTCTTTTTTCATTTTGCTTTTCCGGTTGGGTGTTTTTTGCTTCTTCGCATTTCAAATCTTTGGCTTGATTCTTGCGCTCCTCTGGTCTGCTATTGGGTGTCTGTATAATATTCTTTATTTCAGTCCGTGTATGCTTAATTTCTAGTTGGTTCTTTATCATAGCATCGAGGGTCTCATTAGTTTTCGTGACTCTCTCCTCAAGTTTATTGACAGCTTCTAGCACATTTTTGCAAGCCCTCAAAATTGCGATTTTTAGCTCTATATCCTCCATTTCTGTCATGTTTTTTTGTCTCCGCATTTTTTATGCTTTCTTGGTGCACCCCCTAGTGGTCTTTGTGCGCAGTCTTGTTCTAGTTGAGCCTTGATTGTTGTAGTTAATACTAGAGGGATTTGACCACCAGGCCGACTGGCTGTGTGAATCAGCTGTGTCTGCCGCGGAAAACTTCTGTCCTCTGGGGAGGTGCTAATCTAGCCTTTGCCTGAGGCGATCTGGCAAATGGCTCTGCGCAGGGCTTGGGCGGGGCGGGCTCAACAGGGCGGGCGGAGGGAGCCGTTATGGTGCCCTCAGTCCTGTTCCCAGAGGCTCTGCTTCTCAGAACCCCCGGAACCGCTGCAAACCTCGGAGGGAAAGCTGCCTTCCAACTGATGCCAGACACTCCCGCTTCTCCCGTTTGGGTCCGAGTCCCCAGCGATTCGCCCGTATCTGGAGCTCAGAGTCTGAGACTCCCCCCTGACCGAAAACGACAACCGCGCTCTCAGCCACCAGCCCGCTTTGCGCGCGCACCTCCGCACCTGAGTTTTTTCCACACTGCGCCTCCTCTGAGCCTCGGTGTGCTGTTATTTTTCCTTCTAGTTGAAGAGTCTCTCCTCAGCCAGCCTTCCTGTGGTTCTGGGTGATGTCCGTTCCGTCTTTTAGTTGTATTTTTGAAGTGGTTGTTTGCGGCAGCAGTCTCCGGTGTTTACCTATGCCGCCATCTTGGTCTCTCCTCTATATTGGTTGATTTTGATACATATTCTTTGGCCTCTCAGAACTAAAGGGGGAAAACAAGTCTAATATAGTTAGAACTTACATTTTTTTAAAGGAGAGGGTTAGCAGTATGACATAGCACAACCTTTATACAACTTATTTGTTGATTAAAATTGGGGTGGGGGCAGAACATTTTAAAAACAAATTCCTAGGCCCTCCTTTGGAAATTCTGATTTAGTGAATGGGGCCTGAAAAAAAATTTAACCAGCACCCCAGGTGATCCTTACCCTGAGGGAGGTTTGGGAAAAGCTTTTGTGGTGGAATGAAAAGAGCCTAAGCACAATCTTGGCTCTGCTTGTTACTAGCTGTGTGATCTTGAGAAAATCCATGAACTTACTCGCCCCTTAGGTAACAATAGATAGAACAATGCCTGCCACTTAGAGGTGTTGAGCTTCTACCCCAACCGGCACCAGGCCTGGATCCCTCCCCAATTCTGACCTCCCGGGGTCTGTTTCAGAACCAGCGTCAGTAGGAACCCAACCTAGTTGAGGACTTAGGAAATGCTTACATGTGTATCATCTCACTGTTATTATGTTGGCCTTTGTCCTGTGTTGGATCTTGTGATGAAGTGACCCAGGGGCTGCCAGTTACATTTCGCTCCCTGTGAAGATGGCATGGATTGCTGGAATATTCTGTGTTGGGCCTTTGTCATTTATCTTCTTACCTCCACAGAGGTGGTAGGATGTAGTTGTTAAGCCCTTGGGGCCAAACTGCCCGGGTTCAAATCCTGGTTCTGACTCCTACAAACTGTGTGATCTTGGGCAAGTTGTTTAACCTCTGTTCCTTAGTTTCTTCATCTGTAAAATGGGAATAATAATAAATGATACCCCCCTAGGGTTGTTATACGGATTAAATGAGTTGATACATGTTAGGTGCTGAGAAAAGTGCCTGGCACAAAGTAAATGCTCAGCAAGGAATAGTCATGACTGTGCTCTCAAAGACAGCCAATGAATGAAACACACAGCAAACCCAAAGGAGACACCCTTTATCTAAGCCAATACCAGTCATCCAAGTCTCATTTCCTCTAGTTTTCTCCTTGAAGGGGTGAGGATCCTTGCTCAGGGTTACATTTAGAACAAAGCCTTGCTCTTTGCTGTAGATGTGAGAAGCATGCTCTTTCCCTAGCTCCCCTCCCACCACATACTTCTAAACCAGGGGCATCTATGCTGTGTCCTGTGGAATGGTCTGCAGAGGTCTTCAGGCTTTCTGCAAAGTTCAGTTTGAATGCCATTTAAATATACTTTTAATTATTTATAAAAACTATAAAGCAATTCCTGACCCAAAGTATCCTGGACCAAATTCTAACATTCAATAGACCACCTCCTCATTTGGGGCTGACAGGTTAACTCATTTTGTGTAGACTTTGGAGCAAAATGCCTCCTGCCATCTCTGTGTATATATTTTAACTTCTTATACATTTATCTTTGATTAAGAAGGTGGTAGTTCTGAGCTGCTCCTTCATTTGTGGGTATGAAGTGTTTGTGTTTGTTTTCTGGTCTACATCTAGACCACCAGTGTTGAAGCTTAGGCCTGGCAGTGTTGTAGGGCTGTTCCCCCTGGCATGGCCCATGCGTGCCCACAGGCTCAGCCCATCTTCTGGAGCATGTGTACTTGGGTGGCACAGTAACAAGTGAAAGCACAGTGTGGCCATCATACCATATTTTAAATGGTCTTTTGAATTCTTTTAAATTGTGGGACTTGTTCGCTTTATAAATATAAGATAAAGAATGCAAAGCAGTTCTCAGAAATTGTTAGTGATTCAGCTTTGAAACAAAAATGTCCCAATTCTCCTCTTTCAAGTTTTGGAATTAACTTCATTATAGACGATTCTGCGATTACACCATTAACTTGCTTTTTAACTGCTCTCATTTCCACCCCTTATGTGTCAGTGGGGACTTTCTGTGTACTGTGTACCAAGACAAAGTGTGGGAAGAAATTGGATCCTGAATCTGACTAAGCAGGAAACTGGCATCCCTACTCTGTGAATTCTAATTTTTATTCTTTTATTTATTATTTTTAAAAATATATTTTACTGATTTTTTACAGAGAGGAAGGGAGAAGGCTCCCGCACACCCCCTACTGGGAATGTGCCCACAACCAAGGTACATGCCCTTGACGGGAATCAAACCTGGGACCCTTCAGTCCGCAGATCAATGCTCTATCCACTGAGCCAAACCAGCTAGGGCTAATTTTTATTCTTTTAATCGACTCTAATAATAAATACATGTTATACATTTGAACTTAAAAAGCTTTAAAATAATAAAATGCCACATTTATGTTTTTTATGATATAACATTCTACTTTAAACAGGTATACTTAATTAAAAAAATTTTTTAATCCACACTAAAACAATTCTAGTGGGAGGCCCATCCCTTCCCAAGTGAAGTTGGAGCAGTCTGGCTCTGAGGAGAAAAGGCGATCGGAAGTTACCATCACATAAATCCTGTAAAATGGTCAACAGACTTCAGGGAGAGACGTGGCTTTTCTATCAGATGTGATCACTGGTAACATTTCTCAGAGTAAGTACCTGTTTGGTCCATTTCTCTAATACGGACTTCTGGATCCCAGCAGTTCTCTTGGACCACCCTGAAAACCTTCCCATCTTTCAGCATCTTCGCTTCTCCCTAGGGCAGAAGAGGCACATCAGCAACGTTAACCTAAGTTTACTTAGAGGAACCCTTTCTTCTATACTTTGGAACATGGTTCTCCCCTAATAGGAGAAATCTGTTCATTCAGCAGAGCTCAACTTTTCACCCTCCTGCCTTCAATTGGCCTGGAGTTAAAGGAGTGTGCACGTAGGCATCAGCAGTTGGGCACAGAGAGAAACAAGGCCATGGTCATGGCCTTTTGGGGCTTCATGACTGAGGCTGGCTGGTCATCTTGTCTCCCTGAACCACTGGCTACAAACCCCGAGAGGAAGGCTCAGTGTCTGGAAAACTCTAGATAAAACACAACATTTTAGAATTGAAAAGGACCTCGGAGATAGACTGTGTAGTCCAGCCGTCTGGTTTTATAGAGCAGCCACAGATGGATAGTCAGAGGAAGTGATTTGTCCGGCAGAGCAGGGCCCACTGATGTCAACACCTGCAGGAGGAGGTGGGCAATGAAGTGAATCGGTCTCGCAGCATGTGAGACCTTGGGGCCAAGGTGTTGACCTCCACCGGGCATCGTGCCGCCTGTGTACACTATCTCTTATTCCTCAGGGCAGGGGGCCAAGATAAATGACTGTACAGAAGCATGGCAGTGGCTTCTAAATTCAGCCTCCAGTTTGTGATCCCTAAAGAAAAGGGAAAAGTTCTGATCCAGGTCCCTGAAATCAGACTGCTCAGGTTCAAGTCCCCATTTTACTACTTACTGTGTGTAACCTCTCTGAGCCTCAGTTTGCTTATCTTTAAGATAGGGATAATAATATGACTTAACTTAAAAAATAATATAACTTATACCCTAAAGGGATCTTGTGAGCATAAAATGGGAGAATCCATATAAAGCCCATGGGTATCTGACACATGTTAAGTGTTGGTTATTCTAACTATTAGTTATTAATGATATGTGGCTAACTAGGGCTGTCTCCCGCTGTTCCCTGCTGTGAGGGCACACCACCTCTGGCAGTGCTTTAGGGCTCAACATTGCCCTTGGGCCCCGCCAAGTGGGCATGTGGTGATCAAAGGCCTTGAGCTCTGCTTGAAGGAGTCCCTGCCCTCCCCCTCTCCCCCTTGTTTTGATTGCGAGTTGCACACAGGCCTTGCCACAGCTTCCTTCTCCATCCTTCTATCCCATGGACAAAACCTTCCCCCATTTCTGCTTGGAGAAAGCCAACCACTTTTCCCCTGCAGATGTGGCAGCCCCTTCACATCTGGCTTGCATGAGGAAGCCCTAAGATCCATGTTTTCATTTCTCATGGACTGGGGGGAAGAAGTCAGTGAGAAGTGACTTGTGTAACCGTGACAGGTGTCTGTGTCCAAGCAGAACCCAGTCTCTGACATCAGGGTTGACTTGCTTCAGTCCCCCTGCCAGCATCTGAACACCTTTCCTGGGTTGGGGAATCTCCTATCAGAGTCTTGGTGGAGGCAGAGCCCAGCCTTCCTCTAATAAAGTTCAAAAGCCCAAATGCTTGCTCTTCTTGCCCTGAGCTTGGCCAATCAATGCTTGGTTTTTAATCAAGAGCAAGTGATGCAAAAAGACAGTGGCCACATGCTGTGTCTGTCGACAGGGGTACTGGTGGCGGAGAATTTATTGAAATGATACTTTATGTAATGAAAAGTTAACCTTCAAAATAAAAACAGAAATGACAGCATTGGACTAGAACACTGGTTGGCAAACTGCGGCTCAGCAAACCGCAACTCGCGAGCCACATGCGGCTCTTTGGTCCCTTGAATGCGGCTCTTCCATAAAATACCGGCTCTTCCACAAAATACCGACTTCTGCGCATGGGCCACGAAGTTTCAATCGCACTGTACATGCGTGCCCACACGTGGTATTTTGTGGAAGAGCCACACTCAAGGGGCCAAAGAGCCACATGTGGCTCGCGAGCCGTGGTTTGCTGACCACGGGACTAGAATAATGGCTTTCAATCCATTTTGGCTGTGACCTCACATGCAGAAATATATTTTCCATTGTGACCCAGTAGACCCATATAAATCTATTTAAACAGATACAAACTGGGACAAAAGTTCCATGAAACAACATTGACTCTTACTATGAACAGTGCATCCTGCTGTTTTCTTTTGTAATCTATTTTGTTTCTAAAGCTGTCCTACCTAACACCCCTGACTTGTTATTATGATTCACTATTAGGTTGCAACTCTTATTTTCAAACACTGGAGTCGATGATCACTGGTCTGTGATTCTTTATCTTTATGGAAACCTCCCCTTGCCTTGGGCTTCCCACTTTCCCCGACTCCCTTGCTATGTATTGTCTTTTTTGTTCACTGAGCTCAAAAGGATCGCTATTGAATAAATACCTTTATCCATTCGGATTTCTTCTTGGCTTCCCAGTGAGGGGAAAATCATTTTCACAATTGGAACCCAATGATCGGAATTACATGGAATTACACAGAATAGTGTGTATTTAATGCTCGGTGTGATGGAAATGGTGTGTGTGTGTGTGTGTGTGTGTGTGTGTGTGTGTGTGTAGCCCCAAGGGCCTGGAAAACACTCAGTGGGGATCTGTAGATGCTGCTGACCCACGGTTTAGAAAGAGGCCCTATGTCCATCATTTGAAATGCTCCCAGGTTCTTGCCATCAGGACTCAGTCCTACCCCCACCCCGTGCAGCTCCTGAGAGGAGGCCATACAAATTGTCTTGCTACCTACACTTTCCTAAATATTCAACCAAAAGACAAGTGGTATTTTTTCAATTCTGAACAGTGCTCTACCATGGCACACAAGCACCCCATCATTCATCTCCAAAGCATTGAAATTCATTAAGAAAAGAGACATAAGACACTGGGGGGTAGGGGAGGCCAGGGGATTGTCAAGGGCAGGAAAGAAAAGGAGACATATGTAATACTCTTTGTAATACTTTAAGCAATAAAACAATAAAAAAAATTAAAAAAAGAAATTCATTAAGAAAAGAAGCTAGATGTTCTCCTTGCTATTAGTCTAATTTGAATATTTGTATACATTCACATGTTGTTTTCCAGTGACTGTAATCCCTGACCACTGTAATTATAAAAAATACAGATTTGGTTTTGTTTTACTTTGTTTGTTTTGAGGGAGAAGGAAGGAGAGTGTCACTGTTTTGTTCTGTTACACTACCATTGTATCCAAGTTTGCTGGAAATATGTAGGAAATGTGTAGGACTGGATGTGACTGGAAATATTTTCCTTCTTGGGTTTGGTTTTTGTTTTGTTTTGTTTTTTGAGATCTGCTGTTAAGTTTATGCAATATCTTGACATGAAAACAAAATGAAACGAAGGCCATTCAAATCCATTATCGAAGTTACAGACTGCAGCCTGGGATATGGAGTAAAATAAAAATCACAGCGTCCTGTCCCTGCGTTTGGGGCTTCCTTGCAGCCTTGTAATCAGCTCTGCTCAGCTTGTTTTCCTCCTCGAGGTGACCCGAGGCCAGCTTAGATCACTGCTCCCAGGCTCGGGACTGGCACTGCTCAGCACACAAGTGCGGCTCAGTGTCCACATCAGCACTTAGTGGATGCCCTGTGATGAAGGTGAGAGTGAGCTGCCTCACAGATTCTGGTGTTGAAAACTCTGTAATGGTTCCCCACTGCCTTCAGGATCAAGTTCAAAGGCCTAAACCCAATCTCCAAGGCTCCATCTGATGAGGCTTCTGCCCACCTCTTCAGCTTCTTCCCACCACTTTGCTCCTAAAACCCTTGCTTGCCTCAATCCATTCTCTGCCGCTGAAGGTCTTTTTAAGCCATGAACACCCTCCAAAGACTTTGCACTGTGTTGAAAATAAAATCCAGATTCTTTAGCATGTGCTACATGCCCCTCTATGATCTGGCCCCTGCCTACCTCACTAGCCTCACTTCCTACTGCCTCCCCGTTTCATCACATCTCAGCCACAATGCCCTCCTCTCTGTTTCTTGAGCATAGCTCTTCCTCATGCGATAGCCTTTGTAACCGCTGGTCCCTGAGCCAGGGACGCTATTCCAGGTTTTCCTTCCTTTCCTCCAAGTCTTCACTAGCTGCCCGTGCAGCCAGCCCTGATTAGCCTCCCTATTATAGCACTGTTTGTCATTCCATTCTCCAAAGTGATCAGGTTTGTCTCCCCGCAGAAGTTTATCACCACAAGGGCAGGGAACAGGTCTGTCTTGTTCACCAGTATATTTTCCAGGCCTAGCCTGGTGATGTTAATAAAAACCAGTGAGTGAGTGAATGAATATGGGCAGTGGTTTTCAAACTTGAGTAAGCGTCCGAATCACTTGGAGGCTTGTCAAAACAGACTGCTGGCGGGTTCCTCGGAGTTCCTGATTTGGTAGGTCTGAGTTGAGGCCCATGAATTTGAATTTCTTCCATCTTCTCAAGTGAAGCTGCTCTTGCTGGTCTGGGGATCGCATTTTGAGAAATGCTGGTCCCAGTCATAGCAAGTGCTTGAGTTGTGGGCTTAGATAAGTTTAATATTTCCATGCCTTTGTTCCCTGTCTTCTCTTCCTGGAAATCTGTTTCCTTTATTCCTGCTTCAAGCCTCAGGCTGGGCGTCACTTCCTCCAGGAGGTCTTCTCCAGGATTAGTGCCCAAATCTATGTCCTCCAGCACTTGGTGAAAAGCAGGCCGCCAACCTTATCACACTGCATGTGTTCCCCCTGCACAGGGTAACCGCGTCTTCCCAGACCGCAAGTCTCCCAGGTCCGCTTAAGGCACGTGTGTGTTCCAGCTGGACGCTCAGGCATGTTCCCTCCCAGCTCCACGCAGGCACGTGCTGCCTCTGAAAATGAAGTCAGGGATGACCTCTCTGCAGCCCTGGACTCTGAGCTCCTTCTCAGTTCTCCTTGCACCTTCTCCTCTTACCAAACAGTGGCTTCTCCCGGGTCTCCAGTGTTTAACTTCTCTAGCTTGTGCTCAAACCTAAACTGTTCCATTTATTTGGTTGGCCTTCATCTACTATAATGACCTGTGGAGGGGGCCAGGTTAGTGCCCAAATCTATGTCCTCCAGCATCTATTCCTTAAGGCAGAGCAATAAGTGCTAAAATTGGTTTGAGGGCAAAAAAAGAGGTTTCTTAATGGCTTTTCAAATTCCAATTTACCGTCCGGAATACTGCTCTTTGAAGTGACCCGCATTTTTTCTAATAATTTAGAGATGAGGCCCCTGGCCCCTGGTGGTCAGTGCTGCTCCCTTGTCTACTGCAAAGTCCACAGGAGGGCAGAAGGGTTGAGAGCTCCCGGAGGTCTCAGGCTCAGGGTGTCCCTGGGTCCAAGGCGGGCTCACTTTGGGAGAAACTCACCTTGCTGTGGTGTTGGAGCTGCACCCAGCCTCCATAGCCGAATCTCTGCAGGGGGAGAGGCACAGTTAGACGGAAAGAGCAAAGCAGACAGGACTGCAATAAAGGGCATTTCTGAGGCAAAAAATCCTGAGCTCCATCCTTTCAAGTACCACCTTCCCATCTTCCCCTCATATCCATGCACCACTTATTCAACATTTATATTTAAACAATTTATTTTCTTTCCTTAAATGCATTTATTCAGGAATAAAATTCTATATCATAGAAGTGCTAGTTTTACCTTTTATCCTCATGCAGGTTGCAATTTTAAAATGAGGATTTATGTTAAAAAAATATCTGTTTCTGTACCAATTAAACTATTTCACCCACCAGGAGAACATATAAGAACCACTCTTTAGGAAATGCCATATTGGAACACTGCTCTTCAAACTGTGTGTTATGACCCATGAAATCAATTTAGTGAACAGTGAGTGACCCAGATGTTCTAAAAATACCGAACAGTATATGTAGCAGATGGTGTTGGTGTCCCACCCATATTCCCTCCCCTTAACACTTCTGTTCACACCAGCTCTTTTGCCACTGAAGCCAACGTTGGTCAGGCCCTTCTAGTACTAATAAATTAGTGTCCCACTCCCCTCAGCAGTCCTCACCCAATGACTGAGGATGCTCCTCTATGAATACATTGAATACACTAAATCAAAGGTCTGGCTGGGGTGAGGTATACATTCTACACTTTCTTTGGATGCCTTGCTTTTCCTGTCTCTCTTCCTCACTCTACTGGTGTTTTCTAAGGTCACCTCCAAAGTAAACTTGCATTTGAATCTTTATCTCAGGGTCTGGTTCTTGAAACACCCAAGCCAAGATAGTAGAGGAATGAAATGGAATGGAGTGGAGTGGAGTGGAGTGGAATGGAATGAAGTGGCATGGAGTAGACTGGAATGGAATGTAGTGGTGTGGGGTGGGGTGGAATGGAGTGGAATGTAATGGAGTGGAATATAATGGAGTGGGGTGGAATGGAGTGGAGTGGAATGGAGTAGAATAGAATGGAGTAGAGTGGAGTGGAATGGAATGAAGTGGAATGGAGTGTAGTGTAGTGGAATGGAGTGGACTGGAGTGAAGTGGAATGGAGTGTAGTGGAATGGAGTGGAGTGGAGTGGAATGGAGTGGAGTGGAATTGAGTGGAGTGGAATGGGATAGAGTGGAATGGAATGGAGTAGAGTGGAGTGGTCTGGAATGGAATGAAGTGGAATGGAGAGGAGTGGAATGGAGTGGACTGGAATGGAATGGAATGTAGTGTAGTGTAGTGTGGTGTAGTGGAGTGGAATGGAATGGAGTGTGTAGTGGAGGAATGGAGTGGAGTGGAATGGAATGGAGTGGAGTGGAATGGAAGGGAATGGAGTGGAGTGGAGTGGAATGGAGTGGACTGGAGTGGACTGGAATGGAATAGAATATAGTGTAGTGTAGTGGAATGGAGTGGAGTGGAATGGAATGGAGTGTAGTGTAGTGGAATGGAGTGGAGTGGAACGGAATGGAGTGGAGTGGAATGGAAGGGAATGGAGTGGAGTGGAGTGGAATGGAGTGGACTGGAGTGGACTGGAATGGAATAGAATATAGTGTAGTGTAGTGGAATGGAGTGGAGTGGAATGGAAGGGAATGGAGTGGAGTGGAGTGGAATGGAGTAGAGTGGGATGGATTGATCAGAATGCCTCCCATGTATAATTTTTCATTTCATGAAACTCTTGTTTCCATTATATATGTGGATGTTTGTGCCGAGTCACAATATAAAATATATTTCTCCTGACAGTTATGACTAAAAAATTTTGTAAGCCTCTGCCTAAGAACATAGGTATATGTGACTCATGTAACTATAGGTTTTTAAATCTCATTTGTTCATTCATTCATTCATTCATTCACTCTTCATTCATTCATTTCACAAACCCTCATGGAATCCCACCCATGACTGGCCTTACGAGGGCAGAGAAAGTAAAAGTGAAGGACAGTTCCAGCCTGTGTGGAGCACAGTCTTGAAAGGGTGGCGCTGGGTTGGGCAAGTACTTGAAAAGCCATAATCACATGTGAGATGTGCTGTGATTGAGTGATGCACAAATTCTCTGGGAGCCTGGAGGAAGGTTCTGACCCACAACTTGGGTCAGGTGGTGCCAGGGAATGAAGATTGAAAAGGTCGTTTTGGGTCAGGTTGGAGAGGAACTTCCAGAGGTCAACATTTCCATGCTCCAAAGCAATGGCTCTCAAATTGTGATGTAAGAGGGGAGGGTATGGCAGCCAGAGACAGTGATGTGAAGCCTCCTCAACAGCTCCAGGCATCAGTGATGGGTAGATGAGAAGCTGAAGGTGAGTACAACTTCTCACATGTTTTGGTTGGAGGAGACCAGCTAACAGTGGTTGGTTCTTATGTCATGATAGCGAGTTTGTCTTGAGGAAGTCAGGGCTTGGCAGATCCCTCGTCCTAGCTCTGCTCTCCCCTCCAGACTGAGAGGGGAAGTCTGGGCCTGCAGCACAGGAGTGTTTGTGCGGCTGTGACTTTGGTCGGCTCCAAAAGACTTAAGATTTAGGTCAATTTCATACCACCTGTATTCTACCTGCGACTAAGTTTTGTTCTTGAGTTTCAGCTCCAAATAATCATTTTAGCCCTGGCTGGCATTGCTTAGTGGTTAGTGCATCAGCCTAGGGACTGAAGGGTCTCGGGGGTTCGATTCTCAGTCAAGGGCATGTACCTGGTTTGCAGGTTCAATCCCTGGCCCCGGTAGGGGTGCATGCTCAAGGCAACCAATCGAGGAACTTCCAGTGGTCAACATTTGCTGTGTCTTTCTCACATCACTGTTTCTCTTCCATCCTCCCTCTGTTCCTCCCTCCCTTAAAAAGAACTCCTTCTCTTTAAAAATGAAACAATGGAAAAATACTTTCAGGTGAGGATTAAAAAACAAACAAACAAAAATAACCCCACAAAAAACAAATAATCAACTTAGCTCTGGATCTACCTGCTTCTCCCCAAGGGACGTCAGAGGACCTGGCTCAGTGGGTTGGGCACGCAAGGGAAATTGTGGACCAGGGGCCCACGTTCCTCCTCCTTGTACCTAGTTTCTCTATTGCCTGTGTCCCCACACTCTCTTCCCTTCATGCATTCAATACCCTTGTGCTCCCCCCCTCTCTGCCCCTGGATAAAGCTGTCCAGAGATAAAGCATGCTGGAGGAGGGGCTGGGATATTGCTTCCTTCAGTTACACTTCAGAATGAACTCTCAAACTGGAAATTTGCCTTTGAAATCTTACTTTAGTGTAGAAAATACTTTTATTTTTATTCTTTCCCTCCTTCCCTCTTTGTCTTTCATTCCTTCCTCTCTCTTTCTTACTTTTTCTGAATTCCCTTTGGAACTTTAACCCATGCATAAATTAGCAGGTTACAAAGTACCCCATCTGGGGAAGGGCAGAGAGGCAGAGGGAGGCAGAACACAGGGCTCTTGTCACACACAACAAACCACTTAGAAGATACTTGACTTTGTTGGAGTAACTTAACATCTCGAAGTCACCGCTTCCTTATGTGTAATTGAGTTTAACAAATAACCTCAGCTGTGACATAGGGTTTAGTGGGGATTAGTGAGATAATTCATAGAAAACTATTGACACCAGACCTGGTTTATAGAAAGGCTTTCCTGGGTGCTAACAGTGATGATGGCGGTGGTGGATATGGTGGCGACAACAGTGGTGATGATGATGGTGGAGGTTTTGGTGGGGATAATAGTGGCAGTAGTGGCAATGGTGGAGGTTGTGAGTGGGTAGTGGTGATGGTTGTGGTAATGAGTCTGGTGGCAGTGGTGGTACCAGTGATGGTAATGGTAGTGGTGGCAGGCAGTGATGGCAGTGGGGGTGGCATAGTGGTGACAGTCTATTCTATCCTTAGGTGGTAAAATAAGGCACACTCTAGGATCAGACACAAAGAAGCACTGTGAAGGAAGGAGCCCTTTGTCACTCAGTGTTCTTCCCTCCCCTTTCTTGCAAAGCACAAAATTTGAATACTTTGTGCTTCTTCTAGGCCCCTTGCAAATACCTAACTTATTTGGGCCAACTTAATTCTGCTCCAAGTCTGGGATCCATTTAGTCCCCCAGCTCTCATCCTAGGTTGAAACAAGCCTGGGGTTGGAAATTGATGACCCTGGTGGTAACTTTGGTCCGAGCACTTGCCAGGAGGCATTTACAGTCTGAAGCTATTTGGCTGACAAGGACCAATGTCCCATAGGAATTTATGGGCATGACAAATACATAACAAATTTAAAAATTCAAGGGCATTCATTTCTCTATATAAAAGATGTGCTTCTGAATTGGGAACATATGAATCAGGTTGAGGAACTGAATGACATTTTTAATGTCTTGGGCATCTCACACATTCATAAGGTAAATGATGCACCTTGGGGGTGATGAAACCAAATATGTATTTCTTCACAGAGGTTGTTCAGAAGTTGAACTATGTCTGGGATTTTGTCTCCTAAAATCTTAGGGTGATCAAGTGTAATTAAGTTATTGCTAATGAAAGAAGATGTACATATATGTTTTTTTACTAAAGGCCAGAATTTTTCGACTCCATTTAAAATTAGAAGAATCTTTGCAAGCCCTACTATTGGACACATCATTGGTGGTCAGTAGAGTCTTGCTGAAGGAAAAAGCCAAAACCTTATTATCATCATTGTCTTTATGAATAATCTCATGTGGATAACCTGAAACCACTTCCACCGTGGTTTCTTAGCCACCGTGCTCCTATTTGTGACAGAGTGTGGGTACTGATTCATTAGAAACAATTTAATCAAGGGCCCTCTGATTCTGCTCTCTTTTTGCCTCACAGATCTTAATTGTAACTCTGACTTATTAGCAAGTGAAATGAAAAGCTTTCTCAAATCCTAGTCTTTTGTAATGATTAGTTAATCATCAAGCCGGCATGTTGATTCTCCTTTTCTGTTTCTTTGTTGCATAAGGAGAGCAAGGTTTTTGAGGTGTGTCTATTAATATTTAATTTTTGAAAAGGTCAGGTTTGAAAAGAGATGTTAGTTCTTCCAAACAGGCTTCATCCTTTAACATAAAACTAGTACTGGTTTATTCTTTTCATTCTTTTATTGGAAAGTTTGAAAAAATGGTGAGAAAAGATCAGAGATGGATGCTTTGAAATATTTTGCCCCCTAAGAAACAATTGGAAGGCAAAGGAAAATCTGCTGGAACTGTTGAACTATATGAACACCAAAGAAGACCTGCTCTTAACCACTGTCACTTCAGTGATCACTCTGACCACATAGACTGAAAATGCGGAGGGAGATGGGTCCCAGCACCATTTCACGTATTTTTATTTATCCCATTCCTCCCAATTTGAAAACACAGAACCGTTTTCTGCTCGTTGTTTTGTCACTGGCTTGCCTGCACTCAAATGCAAAACTCTACCATATAACAGATCTGGTTGCTTGACCTGCAGGTTGGAAGCCAAGTTCCAATACCCCATGATGAACCCTACGTGGGTTTGGGGTGTGTTTGGGAGCGGGCTGGTGTCGAGGGAGGCACTTGGGGTGGGGGCGGCAAAAGGAAGCAGGGACATCCCTTATAGCAGTGCCATTCTCCTGGGCCAGCTCTCTCAGCTGGGTGTGGTGGTATTAGTGGGGCGGGGCCGCCATGATCCCACATAGCTCTGGGATTCTAGGCTCATTTCTGAGTCTCCAGGACTTTATCCAGCAGCGTTAATAATATAAATCCTATAAATTTTGCAGTTAGCAAGATTTTATGTGGATCAAATTACATATTGCTCCCTGGAAGTATAAGAGTATTATGATTATTACTACTACTATCATCATCATCATCATCATCATCATCATCATCATCCTGTGTATCTGTTATCTGCTTGCAGCTTGTGAGACTGCTAGATGGAAGCCTGGTTTATCAGGACAAAATGCCCCTCCCTCTTGGAGGCAACAGCTAGAAGATAGGAAGCGGGGGTGGGCTAAAGAGCCAGGAGAACAGGTGTTTGCTGAGTCTCCGGGCACCCGTTTATGGCTATAGCCTCCCATGCTCTGCCTCCCTCAGCTTCCTAAGCAGTTTTCACAATACCTGTAGGGCCCTGCATTAGGTGGCACTTAGAAGTGATCAGCTCTTGCTGACCAGTTCTCTGCTCACACTAGAGGCAGGCTTCTGGGTGGGAGACAAGTCCTGGGAGGTGGGTTGTGGCACAGGATACAGTCCCCCCCCTCCCCTTAGCAGAGGAGGAACCTTTTTAGGCTGCGCTAGGTCATCATCACAAACATTGTGAGGTTGTGTTTACGCTTTAATAAAATATGGCGAGGAAAACAGCATTCAGAACAGCAAGTTCCCAGGTAGGCACTCAGACTCCGTTTGGAGGGGCGAGTTTGATGGGGTTAGCTTTTACCATTGGCTGTAACAGGACAGCCTTTCAAAGATGATTCAGCATCATTTGTATTTTTCAATCCACAATGCCTACCACCCATCTTACCTAAAATACCAATGAACAAAGAAACACTTAAGGTTAACATTCTTCCAGGAGTCAACTATGAGAAGAAAATGGTGTCCGCTACTTGCACAATGCGCCACTATTTAATCAGAGGTTAGGTTGATCCATTTTTCCTCACTTGGGATAAAAAGGTGAAACATTATCAATGGTGTGAAAGTTCTAGAGAAGGCTTAAGATTGGGTAAAACCTGATAATTAGCCCGAACAAAACTCAAGCCAATTTTAGATTTCTTTCATGTCTCCCACCTTCCTAGTGGTTTTATTCAGTTACAGTTATTCATTCAAAAGTTCTTAATGCCAAGAGGAAATTCCCATCTTTGGAGAAGCACAGAGCAGAGTCTTTAGAGACACTCATTGTGCGAAGGCCTCATGTCATTTCCTCTGGGGTTTTTGATGTTCCTTCTCTCTTGTTCATAACAAGGATTTACAGCTTAAAGAACATCAAAAAGGAAAGGTTTCAGGCAGCACCCTAAAATAGACTATAAAAAAATCCATAAGTTATCTCTTGGTGCTTCTAAACCTTATTTTAAACATTTTGGAAAGGAGATATGCTGTAGAAATCCCGGAAGCCTGTCACATTCCATTTTTTAATAGTCTCTTACTTGAAACTGTAACTTTCAATTCTGTGGTTGGCATGCATCTCCCCTTCCCAGCAGCTGAATATGTTATTCAAATGGAAGTGAAACTGCCTGACTTAAATTGTCCAGAAATTTTAAAGAATGCTTCATTTAAGGGGAGAAAGGAATTTTGAGAAAGACTTATGTCTTTGATCAATGTTCTTTCAAAATTAATATAAAAGTTATTTTTTAAAACTAAGAAATCAGAGCTACCAAATAATTTTAAAGCATTCCTAAAGCAGAGAAACTTAACATCTAATTCCTCAAAGAAAAGCTAGGTTTATAATAGAGGCATTGAGAAACCCTGGAGAAGTTCCAAAAATAATTCAGCAAATTAGTCACCATTACCTTTTTTAGATCTGGCCATTCTTTTGGTAGAATATGATTATGGATGTCAATTTTCATCTCCACAGGATCAGAGGAGAAGCGTGTAAAGAAAGAAGTTTTGATATCAAGAGATGAACACCATGGAGTTAATTGATTTACTTTGCCCCTTTACAGCTATCTTTAGGCCCTGGCCTGCTCAGCCAGGTCTGGGTTCACTGGAGCTGCCTTATTAAAGTTCAAAGTTCTGTTTGTCCACTTAGCTTTTGGTCAATAATTCTTTGGTAGCCAGGCTGTGTAGCACAAAATTATTTTTAAAAAGGACTGTACTAAACCTATGAATACAGCAGGTCCAAAATGGACTAATCTTTGTTTTTAAATATTTCAATTTTATCAACATATACACAGTAAAAAATCAAGTAGCACCCGGTTAAAAGAAAAAGAAAAGAAGAAATAGTTTTCGTTGGGAATTTCTTTGAGAAGTACTGGTCAAAGACCTACTGAAATTTTTAGTTAAGGTACCAGGTTGGTAATGCTCCCTCCCCATCAATACCCAGAAAAATAAAATGCAAATACTTTCTGGAGAAAATAATTCCAACTGATTCCCTCAGTATGCCATAGATTAAGGTCAACAAAATATTGACTCATAATAAATTCTACACACATGAGGAAAAAAGCCATCATGAGTGAGTGTCCACAGAAATAATAATAGATTTAAACCTCCAAGAACATATATATTGGAGATATTAAACATAGAATATAAATTTATTATATATATATTTAAAATAAAAGTTTAAAAATCAACCAAGAGACTATCAACTGATTGGCCACATTTGAGAAACAACAGTACCAAAATAGAACTTTCATAAAAGAAACCATAGTAATTGAAATTAAAAACTCAGTGGATGGATTAAACAACAGAGTAGACATAGTTGAAAAGAGAATTAACAAACTGGAAGAGAGACTTGCACAGAGAGATGAAGAGATTGCCCATATATAAAAGTGCCACAAAGTACAAAGGATAGAATAAGAAAGTCTGAAAGGAGTCTAATCAAAGTACTAAATGAGAGGAGAGAGATATTCCAAAAGATAAGCGTTGAGATTTTTTAAGATCAGATGAGCCAACAGATCCAAGACTCAACCTAAATCAAGGAAGATTAACAAAAAGAACTCCATTTCTAGAAACCTTGCAGTGAAACTGTAGAACATCAATAATAAAGATTAGATCTTATAAACTGTTAGAGAGAAAGAGAATGCCTTCAAAACTCAGTAATGAGACTGACAACCAACTTCTCACAGCAATAATAGGAGCCATAGAACATTAGAAAATACACTCAAAAGGCTGAGAGACATTGTCATGCTCAACTATGTCCTCCCCACCCATACTCAGAAAAAGAAAGTGCAAATTCTTTCTGAAGGAAATCATTCCAATTGAGCCCTCTCTGTATGCCACAGATTAACCTGGAATTGTATACCTTGTAAAATTTTATTTTAACAGTGAGGGAGAAGTAAAGATATTTTCAAATAAAAACTGAGATGGCTACCAACACACCCTCACTTAAGGAATTTCTAATAATATACAGGCATACCTCAGAGGTATTGTGAGTTTGGCTCCAGATCACTGCAATAAATGATCACAATAAAGTGAGTTGCACAAACTTTTTGGTTTCCCAGTGCATATAAAAGTTATTCTTACAATATACTGTAGTCTATTAAGTGTGCAATAGCATTATGCCAAAAATAAATGTACCTACAAAATTAGATCCAGAAACTTAGAAGTATGAAACAGACTGTCAAATCTCAGAGGGAAGGCAGGGGAGGGTGGGAAAAGTTCACCCAAAGAACTTGTATGCATATATGTGTAACCCCTGGACACAGACAATAGGGTAGCGAAGGCCTGAGGTGGAGGCAGGGGGCTGGCTAGAAGAGGTGAATGTGGGGGGGGGGGGGGAGGGGGGGGGGGGGGAGAAGGGGGAGAGACATATGTAATATTTTCAACAATAAATATTTTTTTAAAAAAGGAAAAATATTTTATTGCTTAAAACAATAATGATGTTAAACATCATCTGAGTATTCAGTGAATCATAATCTTTTTGCTGGAGGAGGGTGCTAACCTTCAATTTGTATAAAACACAATGTCTGCGAAGCACAGTGAAGTGCAGCTCGGTAAAACAAGGTCTGCCTGTACCCAGAAAGGAGGACAATCACTCCAGACACAAGGTCTGAACTGTAAGATGGAGCAGGGAGCAAAGAAACTGGTCATCATATAAGTAAATCTAAATAATGAATATTTCAAACAGTAAGAATAGTGCCTGGTTTAAGGATTTAAGGCACTAGCCAACGGTTGTCCAGCCATACTATTGGCTCTTCTCTCCAAGGAATGCTCCCCTGACTGTGAATCTCATAATTTTAGCATCTTTTGCAATCTGGTTAAGCAAAGAATTTCCTAAATCATCAAGTCCTCTTCTTCTTTTTCTTATCAGTTTTTGAGCTATCTTTTTCCTCTTGCATTTTACTGTGAGCAGCAAGAAGGAATCAGGATGAACCTTCAACATTTAGCTTGGAAATCTCTTCAGCTAAATATCAGACGTCATCACTTTTACATTCTGATTCCCACACAACTATAGGACACACCAGTGAGCTAAGTTTTCTGCCACGACATAACCAGGATCTCTTTTTCCCCCCACTTTCTTTCACGTTCCTCATTTCCTTCTGTGCCTTTATCAACAGTGCCTTAAAAAATGTTTTCTTGATTTTAGAGAGAATGGGGGGAGGGGGAGAGAGAGAGAGAATGAGAATAGAGAGAAACATCAGTGATGGGCTGCCTCCTGCACGCTCCCTACTAGGGGTAAAGCCTGCAACCTCAACAGCGCCTTTAACATGCATATTTCTACCTACAGTCTGATCAAGGCAACCTAGCATTTTTCTCCCATGCGCCTCAAAGTTCTTCCAATCTCTGCCACTGCCCAATTCCAAAGCCACTTTCACAGGTACAGCAGCATGCCACCTTCAGGTACCAAAATCTGTGTTAGTTTCCAAGTGCTGCCGTCACAAACTGCCACAAACTTAGTGGTTTAAACCAATACACATTTATCCTCTTATGGTTCTGGAAGTAAGAAGTCTACAGTGGTTCAGTCGTGCTGCATTCCCGAGACTGGTTCTAGAAAAGCATCTCTTTCCTTGCCTTTTCTTGCTGAAGGACCTCATCCTCTGTCTTCAAAGCCAGCAGTGCAGCATATTACAGACCTTCTCTCTGCTTCTGTCATCATACCACCTTCCTGGACTCTAGCCGTCCTGTCGCTCTCTTCTAAGGACTCTGTAATGAAAATGGGCCCACCCAGACACTCAGGATAATTCCCCATCTCAAGATTCTTAACATAATCCCATTCAAAGTCCTTTTTCCCTGTGAGGTAGCATTCTCACACGTTCTGGAGATTAAGACATGGACACCTTTGAGTGGGGGTGTCAGTCCGCCTGCCACAATCAGACCTGGTGAAATTTCCAAAGCAACTACAAAAGAATGCACGGGGAGCCCTAGCTGGTTTGGCTCAGTGGATAGAGCGTCATCCTGCAGACTGAAGGGTCCTGGGTTTGATTCCAGTCAAGGGCACATGCCTGGGTTGCGGGCTCTATCCCCAGTAGGGGGCATGCAGGAGGCAGCCGATCAATGATTCTCTCTCATCATTGATGTTTCTACCTCTCTCTCTCTGAAATCATTAAAAATATATTATTAAAAAAAAAAGAATACACAGGGAGTATATAGTTTCCAAGGCAGCTAAGTGGAAAATGAAATAAGAGAAAAAGTCAATTTAAAGAAGGCAGTAAAGTAAAAACAAAACCAAACATAAAAATGTAGGCAAATAGCAAGCACGAAACAAAACATCAGAAATAAAAAAACAAAGCCTGCTATGTGTTATTTATAAGAAACATATTTCAACTACAAGGACAGAGAACGTTTGAAGGTAAAAAGGCAAGAGAAAAAGAAAAGAAGCCTATTCTACTCAAAAGCTGTGGCAGGAGTGGCTGACATAAGTACGTCAGGGGAGTCCGAGTAAAAGAGACTGCAAAGCACAGGCCCTGTTAGGGAAAGAGGATCCCTGTAGAATAGTACACGGCTCAACCAAGCACACATCCCCACCAATTCTAAATGTGGCACACCAGGTTGCCTCAAAATATATAATGCACACACATATTGCAAATATATTTCAACATATTTCTCCCAATTACTGGCAGGTCAATCAAATAACTATCACCTGCAGGAGCTGCAGAGGGGGTCCCAATGCTGGGGAGCCCCTCAAGGACCTCAAACACATTCCGAAAGAGAACATTTAAGCTCCAGCTGCCCACAGAGCTCTAAGCCTTTTACCACAGGGTCATTCAAGTGACCACTGTCCTATTGCCCTAACGTTCTTCCCTCTCCCTGCCTGGGCCCTCCCGGGAAGCAGACCCAGCTCAGGGAGGAGACATGCCAGGTGGGAGAGAAGGTAGGTTTATGTGCCCACCGCCAGGGAGAGAAGCCTTACCTTTCAGTGAGGATTGAAGAGATGGTTCATGTATTGTGCGGGGCATTTGTACTCCTGTGACTGAGACTCAGTTTGCAATTTAAAGCTGACTTACAGATTTTTATTTATTATTTTTTAAAAATATATTTTTATTGATTTCAGAGAGGAAGGGAGAGGGAGGGAGAGAGAGAAACATCAGTGATGAGAGAGAATTATTGATCAGCTGTCTCCTGCATGTCCCCCTACTGGGGATCGAGTCTGTAACCGGGACATTGCCCTGACAGGGAATCGAACTGTCACCTCCTGGTTCATGGGTCGACGTTTAGCCACTGAGCCACGTCGGTCAGGCACACATTTTTATTATATGAAAGTGGGTAGAAATGTCATGGGGGCTGCATAGGTTTTCTCCCAGAGGGAGGAGAAAGACTACCTTCATTAAGCAGTACTGAAGGGAGATGTGAAATCTTTCACCTATAACAGTGGTCGGTAAACTGCGGCCCCTTGAGAATGGCTCTTCCACAAAATACCAGGTGCAGGCGCGCACATACAGTGATATTGAAACTTCGTGGCCACACTCAAGGGGCCAAAGAGCCACATTTGGCTCTGGAGCCGCAGTTTGCCGACCACTGACCTATAACAACATCCAGTGAGTCCCGTGTGTTCAGTGTGCCTGTAGCAGACGAAGAGCACAAT